CAGGGGAGCTTGGAAAGAGGGCCAATTCCTCTCTCTCCTCCCCTAGGGGGGCTGAAGGTCCCCTTCCCCCGGGACTGCGGGGAGGAGATGCAGAACGGGGCCGGCACTTCGAGGGCCACCACCATCTTCCTCAACGGCAACCGCGAGCGGCCCCTGGATGTGTTTTGCGACATGGAGACGGAGGGGGGCGGCTGGCTGGTGGGTGGTCGGGGCGAGCCTGCGGGGAGGGGTTCCCTCACAGGGCAGGGGCTGCTGTCTGAGGAGACAGAGGCTGATGCCCCCATCCCCGCCCCCCGCTGGCCTTCCAGGTGTTCCAGCGGCGCGTGGACGGACAGACCGACTTCTGGAGGGACTGGGAGGACTATGCCCACGGCTTTGGGAACATCTCTGGGGAGTTCTGGCTGGGTGAGCACCTCGCAGAGACTGAGGAACCCGGGAACGAGTGGGGACCCTGTGGGCACCCAGACCCTGATGAGACCCGCCCTCAGGCAACGAGGCCTTGCACAGCCTGACCCAGGCTGGGGACTACTCCCTGCGCGTGGACCTGAGGGCCGGGGATGAGGCCGTGTTCGCCCAGTACGACTCTTTCCGCGTGGACTCCGCGGCTCAGCACTACCGCCTGCACCTGGACGGCTACCACGGCACGGCAGGTGGGGGGCAGCTCCAAGGGCCGGGGTGGGGGTTGGGGTGGTCCCGGAGGGGAGGCCCTCACTGCTGCGCCTTCCCATCCCTGCCCAGGGGACTCCATGAGCTACCACAGCGGCAGTGTCTTTTCGGCGCGGGACCGAGACCCCAACAACCTGCTCATCTCCTGTGCCGTCTCCTACCGCGGGGCCTGGTGGTACAGGAATTGTCATTACGCCAACCTCAATGGGCTCTACGGCAGCACGGTGGACCACCAGGTGGGGGCTGGCTGCGGGTGGGGTCCCCTAGTTCCTGAGCCCAGGGAGGCCTCAGAGCCCTGCCTGAGGCCAGAGAATCACAGCTTAGGGGATCCGAGGGCGAAGGTTTATTGCTGGCCTGCCGAGGGAGGGTTCAAGGGTGATGAAGGATGAAGTGGGGTGTTGGAGGGGGGGGTGCTTGGTTACTTGATCAGACAGACACACCCCTCCACCACCACCAAAGGGGAGACCCAACTTGGACCCTCCCCCACGACCCCTTTCTCAGGGAATGAGCTGGTACCACTGGAAGGGCTTCGACTTCTCCGTGCCCTTCACGGAAATGAAGCTGCGGCCCAGAAGTTACCGGTCCCCCGCGCAGGCCGGCTGAGCCCCCTCCCACCTCTTGGCCCCAGCACGGAGGGGTCGCCCTGGGAGAGGAGCTGCTGCGAAGGACGGACGCGATCTCACAGCACTGTTTACAGGGGGGGTGGGGGGTGTAGGGGAGAAGAGGGGTGCGGGAGAAATAAAAAGGGAAATGGAGCCTCGCGGCTGGTGTTCACGCGCGCTCTTCGGGCTCCGGGCGCCGGCGCAGCAGCCGCACGTGGAAGGGCTGCACCCCGAGGGTGACGCCGCCGGGGGGCCGGGGCTGCAGCGAGGGCAGGGCGCCGTGGGCCGGCAGCAGCGTGAAGGCGCGGAGCAGCTGGGCCAGCACCACGAAGAGTTCGAGGCGCGCCAGGGGCTCCCCCAAACACACGCGCGCGCCGCAGCCAAAGGCCAGTTCTCGGGGGCACGCGCCCGGCTCGAGGAAGCGCTCTGCGGGCGGGGGACGAGCAGGGTGGGTGGGTGGGTGGGGCGGGTCAGGGTCGCCCAGCCCACCGCCACCCACCGGGGGCCTCCGATACCCACGGGGCCAGAAGTCTTGCGGCCGCGCCCAGACGGTCTCGTCGAGGTGGGCGCCCAGGAGGTTCGGGATGACCACCGTGTCCTTGGGGATGTCGTAGCCCAGGATGCTGGGGGAAGCGCGGAGTTAGAGGCTGTCCGGGGAGGGCGGCGCCTTCCCCGCAGAGCCCCGCCCCTCGGTGCCACCTGCTGCTCCGCGTGGTGCGGTGGGGCAAGGCCAGGGGCACCGAGCAGCGCAGGCGCAGCACCTCGGCGATGGTGGCGTTGAGCAAGGGCAGCCGCGCACGGTCCTTGTACTTGACGCGGGAGTTGGAGGCGCTGGGGCCCAGCTCTCGATCCAGCTCCTCCTGCAGTTGCCGTTGCATCTGAAATGTGAGCGGCGCAGGGCATCGGGTGTCCGAATCCTGTGCCATCCTGCAGGCACCCCCAGCTGAACCCACAGGCTGGTGGGGAGAAGCCACCCGCTCTGGCCCCTCGAGGCTAGCAGAGGACTGCACTGCTCGGAGCCAGGCCGTCTGGGGCCTTCAGGCGGGGGCCCCTTGGGCGCACCTCAGGGTGGTGAAGCAAATACACCACTGCCCAGGAAAGAGTGGTCGCTGTGGTCTCCGTGCCCCCGATGAACAGGTCCACCATGGCCATGTGCACGTGGCCTTCGAGGAGCTGCCCCTCGCTCCCCTCCTCCGAGACCTGCCGCTTCATCCCGTGCAGCATGTAGTCTGTCATGTCCCTGCACCGGCTGGCCACCAGGCTGTCCTGGGGAGAGGCGGGGAGTGGGGTTGGGTACCCAAAGCCCATGGGAGGGGCTGACAGTGGAGACCCAGGAATGGGGGGTTGCAGAGGACTGCCCTCTAGCCCTGGGCAAAGGACCCCCCCCAGAGGGCCTGGGAGGGTCCAGCGTGCATGTGCATGCCCACCTTGTGCTGCCTCAGCTGCTCCCTCACCATCCTGTCCCTTCTCTCCAAGGCCCGCTTCAGCCTCCACAGCACCGGGTTGGGGAAGAACTGGGGGAGAAGCAAGCCTCGGTAGCTCCTGGGAAAGAAACTTGCTCCCTCCCCACCCTCCCTCCCCGCCTCCCATCACATCAGCCCCTGGCCCCCCTGCTCACCCTGAGAAAGGGAACAACGTCCAAGATGTGAATGGACCAGTGGTCCCAGGTGCTTAACAAGTCCTGGATACAGTCGTGAAAGGCACGCACCAGGGAGTCCTCCTGCCAGAAGAGAGGGGAGACCTCTCAGGTCCAGCCCTGGGAGGGACCGTGGGGATGGGAGTTGGCGGGTGGGGGGTGGGGGGTGGCCCGCGGACAGGGAAGGGCTGGAGGTGTGCCTGGACCTTGTCACCGAAGGTGAGATGGCAGATGATGGTGCAGGTGAGCAGGGAGAATTCCTTATGGACAGCCACGGGGGCGCCGGCCTGGGCGCTCATGCGCTAAGGAGAAAGCACAGGAGCTCAGAGCCAGCAGGCTGCTAGGAGGGCAGGGGTTGTGGGGTTGGTGAGGCTGACCTGGGGGGTGTGCGGGAGGCCAGACTCACGTCACAGAACTCCTGGGTCACCTCCTGCACGAGGCTCTCCATGGAGCTTCGGATACCCAGCAGTAGGGCCGAGCGGGCGAGCTTCTTGTGGGCCCTCCAGAGTGGGGAGTAGTCCCCTACGGACAGGTCCTGGTTGTCAGGGGACACCAGCTTAACTGTAGGGGATGGGAAAGAGGGAGCTACTGACCAAGGAAGCCAGGGGGCTGGCCTCACACTCCAGCTTAGCCCCCTCCAGCCCCGTCTCTTCTCTCAAGCAGTGCCCTGTCCCTGCCCCTTACAGGACGTGGTCTGAGGTCTGCCGGCAAAGTCCACCCACTTCTTGACCATGGCCTCCTCAATGGCCCTCTTGGAGTTCAGTACCACCACCTCTGGAGAAGAGTCAGAGCAAGCGGTCAACAGGATCTAGAGGACCTCACCGGCTCACACCCATGGGAAAGAGGGGGCACTTACCTTGTAGCCCCAGGCGGAGCCTGTAGACAGGCCCGAATTTCTGAGATAAGTCAAACAGGTAGATGGGAAGGTTAGGCTGCAGGAGGTGCAGGAAGCCGGGAACAAGAGGCGGGAGGTGCAGAGTCCTGAGGGCCCATAGGCGCCACAGCAGGCGGGCAGCGGCCAGCAGGGCCAGCAGCAGCAGCAACAGCAGCCCGGAGAACAGCATGGCTGGAGGCCCGAGGGCAGCCTCTCTCAGCTCTGGGGCCCCTGCGGGTCCACCTGCTATATAGGGACCTCTGAGTGACACTCCTAAAATGACACCCATTCCCATTGGCCTTGGGGAGTCCTATTTCAAAGATCTCACCATCATCAGAAAGAAGACAGAGAACAGTCAACCCTGACCTTGGCCCTGCATCAGGAATATTAACTTCCTGGCGCTACATCAACCGCAAAGGTCAACGTGGCCCACCTCCGGCCTGGGCCATCTCCTCCTAGCACCAACCTTGGACCCGCTGGCGGCTTTGAAATCTGCCTCAGACACACAGTTGGCCCTTCTGACAGGCCCTTCAGGATTGCAGTGAGACGACGTGTGTGCACGCGTTAAAAAAACAACAACCAGCAACTAGGGTAGCCATGCACTCTGGTTTGTTTGGGAGAACTCCACCCCACACCCCCCCCTATGTCTAGTCCTGATGTGATTCTATAACAACTCCCCCTTCCGCTCTCAGCTGGGGGGGCGGGGCGTGTGGGGAATGAGAGCCTGGATGGGCTCCATTATGGCACACGTACCACATCCCAGACATTGTTCTCTGCTCGTGTGAACTTGCCACTCCGCAGTGACGCGCTGGGCTCAGGACTGGCGGAGAGGCTCGCCCACAAGCACACAGCGTCAGCAGTTGGTGTTCGCGGCCTGGCTGCAGAGCCTGCGCCCTGAACTGTTAGGAGCGCCTCTCTTCAGTTGCAAGGAAAAGAGACCCTCTCGAGGTGGCTTGCGTCCCAAGCAAGAATTGCTGCATGGGGGGTGTTAGTGTACACCATCTATGAGCAGGGGGAGAGGCTGTCTGGCGTGGAGGTTGATGACCCCCTGGGTACAGGGCAGTGCATTTGCTCTGTGCTTCCTCCTGGTTAGCCTCAGATCCAGATGTGTCTGGCCACGATGACGGCTAGTCAACACCTTTCTACCACCCTTCCTCCCTACAGTCACACGCCTTCTGCCCCTTCTCCATCCCGCGCGGGACTGTCTTTTGAGCCCCAAGGTCACAGGGAGGTCCAGCCTCAGCCTCAGGGACTGTGTCGGGTTGACCCATCCCTTCCAAAGCTCCCCGGGCCCCACCACATCTGGCAGCTGTAGCCATAAGCACGGTGGCCCGCTGGACACGTGACAAGAATCTGGACCGACTCTGGGTGAGGAGGCAGTTCAGCTTTGACAAAGGTTTGAGGAGCGAGCGTGCCAAATAGTGGGAGCAGGTCTCAATGAGAGCTATGGAAAGGTTTGGAGGGGACCTGGTGTCCAGGCCTCAGGTAACAATGTAGTCACACCAGACCCAACTCCTTAACCCTAGTTGTGGAGACTGACCAGTGGAGCATGCAGTCTCAGTGCCCTTAGAGCCTTACCCCAGGCCTGCAGAGGCAGAGCGGCCGGGGAGTCCGAGTGGGCTCCTGCTAGCAGGATTAGTTAACTACTGGGGGTCCTGGGGCAGAGGCCTGGGTAAGAGCAGACTTGCCTGAAATTGGGCAACAAGAGTTACCTCCTTCCTCACAGTTAGTTAACCTTAGTCCCAGGCTGTGTCATGCCACAGTGGTAGCTGGTCAAACGTGTCCATCCCCCCACCATGGTGACCGGGCGAGCGATCTTGCAGGCAACTTCCCGGCTGAGTGAGCACCGGCCCCAGGGAGCCCCCAAACACTGGGAAGGACAGCACTTCTCAAATGACATGGAGGATGATGGAAAGATGGGGTACTTGTGGATGCATACCTTAGAGTTGCATTCCAAAGCCCTCACAAGACCGATCTCTCCCACTGCACCTCCACATCCGAATTCCACACATGAAGAGCATGCAGTGCCCGGCTGTACGTGCTGTGTCCTGGTGCTGCCTCTCTCCTCCTGCTTTAACTCTGACTCTCCCTTCCCAAGTCTCTGCCTGACTCCTTCTCAGCCTTCAGAACCCAGCTTAGATGCCGCTGCCTCCAGGAAGCCTCCCCCTGGCCCCCACCCACTGTCTGATGCTCTCTGTCACAGCTCAGCTGCCCCCACAGGACCCCAGGGCTCCCCTGTGTCAGCCCTCTCAGAGAGGATACCCTCTGGCCGGTATCCCCCAGGGGTGAAGTGTGAGCAAGTTCACAGCTCCATCCCTGGGACCCGGCAGACAACGGATGGAGCGAGAGTTCCGGGAATGTGAGCGACAGATGGCGGGTGGCTGAGCCATCTCTTTTCATTCAGCCTGGACTTCACGCAGGACTTTCCTGGAGGCAGAGTTCTGGGCCGCCCGGGGTGGGGGGTGGGGGGGGGGTGTAGAACCAAATGTGGGTGAGGTCATGGGATGGGGAGGGTTAACCCCAACTGAGCAGGGCTCTCCTCAGAGGACTGGCACACAAGGTCAGCCTTGGGCATCAGATCTGAGCATTGCACAACTCTGGGGACAGGAGCTAAGGCCACTGATAGCCGGGTCAGGTTTCAACTGGCTGGGACTCAACTAAGTGCGGCAGACCCAGATCCCACCTGCACGCGGCCGGAGGGCTCTGCGTGGCCGGACAGCGGCTCCCACGGCCTGAGCTCCGAGGTGTGGACTGAGCTGCAGGCACAGCTGAAGTGTGTGGCCTGGAGCCTCGGGGTGCAGGCTGTGGGGCACAGTTCAGCGAGGAGGCCCCAGAGGGCCTGAACTCTGCCCTGAGCCATTGGGAGGGAGGGTGGACACCCCTGGAAGCCACCAGGCTCTGAGAGTCTGAGACGGCGCAAGCCCCCGGGTCTGGGCCCTGAGTCCTGGAGACACTCCTGGAGACACGCGTGACCCTTTGTGTGAAAGGCCTTTATTGTGCCCCTGGTCCTCCCTGGGCTGTAGTCACGGGAGCAGAGGTCCCCGTGCCCGGTTCAGGCCCCTGTGGGGCAGCTTCCTCACACCTGGCACCCCTGGGTGCTGTACTCCTGAAGGAAGTTGCTGAGCTGGACGCACGCTGCCCGCTGGCGGGTGCTCTGGCACAGGCGCTCTGAGGGCATCTCCTCAATCCAGCTGTTGGAGTCCAGCAGATACTGGGGGCTGTAGGGGCCGGAGGGCGGTCATCAGTGGCCAGGAGGATGGCCGGGGACGGAGGGCGGTCATCAGTGGCCAGGGGGATGGGCAGGTGGGGGAGACATGCTTGGAAGCACAGAGAGAAGGGGGACAGGAGACGCAGGGCCCAGGACACTCACTCTCCCTTGAGGTCCCTGGTGACCCCATCCAGGCCCATGATCAAATACTCTTTCCCAGGCTCCAAGCGAAGTCGGCAGGAGGCTCGAACCAGGAAGTTTCGGGTCTGGCCAATGGTAGCCTTGTCATCCTTGGCTGAGGAGATGAGGTGCACGAGAGACGTCAAAGGGGTAGGGAAGGTCTCCCTGCAGCCTCGCCCACTCACCCACCCAGGAGGGAGATTTCTCTCTCTCTCTCTCTCTCTCTCTCTCTCTCTCTCTCTCTCTCTCTCTCTCTCTGGCTGTGCACACGCCCTGGGTGCTGAGAGACAGAGGGCCAACCCAAACCGAAGTCCTCCCCCACCCATGCCACCCCCAGCCCCGGCCGTCTCCATACTGAAATGCAGGACTTGGGTGATCTTGGTCTCAAAGAGGCGGAAGGCAGCCCTGCTGTCTTCCCGGAGGACCTTCACCTGGAAGCCTGGGTGGGGGTTAGAGAGGCGGGGCGCTGAGTTCCAAAGAGGTGGAGAAGGCTGGCGGCAGGGGGCGGGCAAGTAAGAGGAACCTGCGGAACTGGCAGGGCTAAAGGGCTGCTTCCTGGGGCAGGCGGGGCGGGAGCCGGGCCGGGCGAGGAGACTGACCGTACTCCACGCGAGGGTAGTAGCAAGCGAACTTCATTCGGTAGCCTTCTTCCTCCTGCTGGCCCCGCTCCAGGGCACGGCGTTGTCGAGGGCACTTCCCTGAAGCCAGAGTCCCCAATGAACCCTCTGTCCTTAGGCCCCAGTGGTCCCACATCCCCGCCCCTGTTCCCAGGCCCCTGGTCGGGCTCACCCTCGGCACACTGGCAGACATCTCCGGAGCACAGTTTGGACAGGAGCTTGCTCTTGCTTGGTGCTCCATAAAACACAGAGCACTTGTGCTCTGCAGAAAGTAGAAGGCAACGGGGTGGGGGTGGGGGGGCACGTCAGCACACAGTGGCTGTCCCAAGTGCCTCCCTGCCACCCAGGCCACGCTTGCGCCTTCCTGGTCCAGGTTCCCTGCGGCCCTGTTCCCACACTCACCTGGGTTGTAGTAGTCATACAGGGTGGCGCTGGCTGGCTGCACCAGCCCCACAGCCACCTCCTGCACAGCTCCAAAGCCCACGCACTCCTTCGAGGTGGGGACCTGGGCGGGGATGGAGATCAGTGCCCACTCTGTGCCCCGTGTCCTTGTCCTCCTATCCCCAGTGCCCTTCACATTCCAGCCGTGCTGCCAGCAGCACTCCGCCCCAAGGCCTCTGAGGATGACGTCCCATCTAGTTGGTGGCCTTCAAGACCGGGCCCAGGGCAGACTTGCCCGTGAGGACCACTGCCTCCAGGGAGCCCTCCCTTCTCTGAGCGGCTGTCTTTTACCCCTTCCTTCCCCCCACCCCCAAATCGTTCCCAGCCCCTGCCTGCCCTGGACCCTCCCTTCCCCCATTGGCCCCCTGCCCCGAAGACCCTTCAGGGATGGTGGCTCTCACGCTGAATGTCCAATCCTGTCCTGCCCAAGGATTCAGGCAGGCCTGATCAAGTCCACCACATCTACTCGCCTGCCCACCCTCCTGACAGCAGCTCTCAGCCAACCCCAGGGGCTTCCTGCCCCTCAGCCCACACCTGGCCTGTCAGCCCCTGCCCTCAGCAAGGCTGCTGGGCAGGTAAGGGGCCCTGCGGGAGGCGCTCTTCCCCGCCTGCCAAACACGCCCTCCCAGAGCTTGGACAGTAGTTCTCAACCTGTGGGTCACCACCCTTTTGGGGGTCCAACGACCCTTTCACGGGGGTCGCCCGATTCCTAACAGTAGCAACATGACAGTGATGAAGTAGCAATGAAAATGGTTTTGTGGTTGGGGGTCAGGACAACCTGAAGCACTGTGTGAAAGGGTTGCGGCGTGAGGCAGGTGGAGAACCACTGGTAGAGGAAGGCTCTCAGTCGGCTTTCCCAGGGCTGTGGCGTCTGTTGTTGAAGCCGAGTCAGGCCGTGAAAAGGCACAACTAACGGTCCTCTATGCCCAGTGTCACTTTGTGCAGGAAAACACATTCTAATGTCCCAACCAAGAGGGCCAAGCCCTACTGCTGCCCTTCCTGTGAGCCCGTGGGTGCTGCTTGAAGGGCGCATGCTAGAGAATAAAAGCTAAGCTGAAAGAAAAAGATGTAGACACTTATGAAATCAACGGCCAGACCACAGGCATTAAAAAACACAACACACAAATGGAAAGTGAGGAAGGGCCCCAATCTCAGCCAAAACCCAAAACAAAACCACACCAAGCCTGTGGCCACTGACGTCCACTCCGCCTCCTGGCCCTCCACGTGCCGGCAGAAGTGCTCCTAGGGGGTCTCTGGGCCTTGGTCTTGACAGAGCGGGAAGCCCAAGGCCGCAGTGCTTACTCAGTGGGCTGCTAGCACAGCTTAGCGGTTTGAACCCGCCCATGAAGATGTAAAGATCTCAGAGGGGCAGTTCTCTGCTGGCCTATGGAGCCCTCGGAGGTCACTAGGAGTCAGAATCAAGGGCTCCTGTGGAGGGAGGTCACATGCGCAGGCATTTCCCCCCCCTGAGGGCGATCAGTTGCCAGGCTGCACTAGCCCTGCTCCCTGCTGCTGGAGACAATGGGTTACCTCTCTCTGGAGCCTAAGGCCATTAGACAGGCTCCTGTAGGAGGGGTTTGCACCCTACTGATAATGGTT